TCCTATAACGGAGCCTTTTGTAATTCCTTTTTCTGTCACATAGAGGCAGCAGGTTACGAAACTCGCGTCGAAGCGTCAGCAAGGTGACTGAAATCTTTGTGTCTATATATTGATATTAACGGATGGAATTCCTAGACCTAATGTGTTTCTATTAACTGCCATTTATTATAAGACGAGCTTATGGTGACTTTTTTTCTGTATTCTCTAATAACTTTAAAACCAATTGACTAAGTATCATGACACTTGGTAAGGGCATCATGCCACTAACGCTAGTTAGTTAGCTAGCTAGCTAGCTAACTAACTAACGTACTTCGTTAATCAAGATGATACAGAAATTATCTGCCTTTTATGCTTTACCATATTCACAATATTCCCCACTGGACCCTGTTCTAAGTAGAATGAATCAAATCCACACCCTCACAACATATTTATGTAAGATACATTGTAATATTATCCTCCAGGCTGCAAGTTATTTTTCTTTATTTTCTCTTGCCTTCGTATGTTCCGATGAGATTTTCTCCCATGCTTGCTACCTGCAATGCCTATTACATTCACCATTAATTTAATTACTATTATACTTGGTGAAGAATAAGAATTATAAATCTCCTCATCATGCAGTTTTCTTCAGTTTCCTTTTGCGTCCTTCCTGCTAGGTTCAAATATTTTTCTCGTCAGCTCATTTCCAGTTCCCTCAATCTGTGCCCTTCCCTTAATGCCGTAATCAGTAATGAAACATCGGGCTACTCTCGTGAAATTTCCTGTGGAATTGTGTAATAATTACACACAAAATTTTGTGTGACACATTTGTATGCGTTAACAATTATAGACATGGCTGCACTGTGAAATTTATGTTTTATGTTTTAATAATTTAAAGTCCAGTCTTCTGAACCTGTAGCAGTGGAGATTATGGACAGAAATAGAACAATAATTACGAAAATTATTAAGTTATAAATTTTTACATCAGTTTAATTTATATTGAAGTATGTGCCACATATAGCAATTTCGAAGCTATTTTGTTTCTGTGACAGAAGTAATAGTGCCCGACTGGCTCTAAAGCGACATTGTAATGCTGCAATTTTTAGTTTTTTTGATACTACAGAAGACGTTAAGATTTATCTCAGTTCACGTTTTTCGTTCTAAAGTGTGCAATAAAATTATCTCTCACGGGTCATCGTTCTTATTAGACCACCAACAATTTAACGGCCTCTAAACTTGTGACCTGTAATTAACTAGAGAGTCATGCATATCGTCACATCACCACCACCACGACGCATCCGTGGTGAGTTAACAGAGCATTGTGGAAATATAGAACTGTAACATTAATAAACTTTTGGATTATTCTGTAACCGGCCACACATGCCCGTGTAAGGTAAATAAATGTTTCCTGTAAAATAGTTTGTCACTATAACCTTGTAAGATTTGAGGTTTTCACAGCGGTGAATATGAAGATTTCTGTCTTCTGGGTTGTTGCGCTGTGTAGTCTGGTCGATGTTTACCAACGTTTCAGAGGTCATACTGCCTCCGTCATCAGGGCGATTCTTAGTATGAAGATTTCTGTCTTCTGGGTTGTTGCGCTGTGTAGTCTGGTCGATGTTTACCAAAGTTTCAGAGGTCATACTGCCTCCGTCATCAGGGCGATTCATCGCCCTGATGACGGAGGCAAACATCGACCAGATTACACAGAGCAACTACCCAGTAGACAGAAAACTTCACTATAATCTTATTTTCTTAGTTTCTGAATGAGTTCACCAAAGCGTAAGGGACGCTTAGGTGTCTTAATTAACTACAAGTGTTGCTATACGGAATGAAGCTTACACAGAGGAAGGCAAGAATGAAAAAAAGAAGTATTGAATGAGATAGATAACCAGTAGAATGAAGGATCACAGAGAGTTGTTTCGTATTACATTCTTTGGAGTACCAATGTTAAAACATGGTACACTGTTGTCACTGCATAGTGGACTAAGCACCACGCCATGCAGACATAAGGTGAAATGCAGATTCAACTCCATGAATTCTTAATCTCGTCAGTAGATGAAGGTAAGTGGTTAGCTTCATCGCTTTATCCTCGAGACAAAAACCACAGTGCCCGTTGAATAGGATGCTGGATGAACCCTGTAAGAGGTCTGGACGTTGTGGCGAAAAGAGATATTCTGCACTGTCGGAAATCGAAAACTGTCGTCCAGTGTTTGGGGTCACAACTTTTCTGACTGAGCTGTCCCGGCTTTGGGAAGGAAGGAGTGTAGTCTTTGTATCCACCATTTTTTCAGTGCTGCCAACGTCACTCTGGAGGTAAACTAAAATTGCCTTCACATTTTGACATGTCTTCGTAAATAACATAATAAAATCTGGTAACGGAACCTCTGACCTGTAACTGTTTGTTTATTTTATACATTTGAACTCCTTTTCATTCTAAATCTTTCTGTTGTTCTGTCAAAAACACTTAACCCGTCTTTCCGCTGTCAATCTTTCTTTTCTCACTTCCCCTTTCTCCTTTTCCTTTATCCATATTTCTTTCTGTGTATGCCTATCACCTTACAAAGTAGATATCTTCATTTTCTTGATACTGCTTGTCAATTTAGTTTTTCTGTGAACACCGGAAGTAGAAGATGTAACGGAAAAGAGGAAGAAAATACATAAACTGTGGTAGTTCCTCCGTCCCAGTAATGTTTTATGCTGGTCTCTCAACCTGTAGGTGGAGGCTCTCTGAAGAAGTTTTATTTCTTGGAAGTTTTCTTCCGGGTCACCTTCTCTGCAATTCACTGCCTCCAAGTTATTAAGCACACCTGAGCATATAATATTCAGGGCAGAGTTCATGCCTCCGAAGTATATAAACATTGACACGTGACTTATTTAGTGAGGTGTCTCTGTTACACGTGCAGCTTTCCGAATGGTAACATGCATGTCCCCTTCAATAATCCAGTAGGCTCATTGAATGTGGCAAGATCTCTCTTTGTATAGGACAATGTTATGTATGACCAGCACAGAGAATGAATATTGACACAATTCGATACAAAAAAATTACTTTTAAGGAAGTTATGACACTATTTTCCTTCACGTGTCAATCTACTTCGTGATACTAGCAGCGGTAAAAGTAAAGTTTGTCCCACTATACGCCATGTAGGCGTTTGGGGTGGGTGGAGGTATAGCTCCTCTCTTCCTTGACCTCGGCACTAGATGGGGGTGAGTGGTCAGCATCACGCCCCGGCCGGCTTTACCCCCGGGAAAGGACCCCGGTACCCATTGTAGAGGAGGCTGGGTAGGCCCCGGAGCCGGTCTGGACGCAGAGGCTAGAGGAAAAATCTTCTGCCCCCGTCGTCCATCCCGTAACTAGTCACTATACTGACTGAGCTATCCCGGCTCATGATATTAGCAGCGGTAGAGTTATAAAAGCAAAAGCGAATGACAATTGGAAATAAATTCATAACGAAGTTGGTAAGGCGTTAAATGGGAAATATTATATATGATATAAAATTTACAGTATTTTATATTTCTGTGCTATGTCGGTGGTAAGAAATATTAAAATACACGCAACTTTTATTTGAAATTCTCCCACAAGCTAGCAATTAAATTGATTTAGCTTCAAGTGTAGATGAAAGTAAGAACATGGCACAAAACCAAAATTATGGATTGTAAAGTTGTCATATAACCAAATGCAGTGAACCATTTGAAAATGTGTATCAAGTAAAAATAACAACACAAGATATGAGATAAATGCGTGCGTTGAAATTCTGAGTTGATAAAAATTCTGAAATGGCCACTTCAATAGATGTTAAAGATTTATGAAGAGAGGGAAAGAAGTTTGCTTCTTGTTTTGTGCAGTTATGAAACGTGGTCTATTACTACGAGAATAGTGCCTGTTGTCGGGCTTTGTTGTTGGCGATTTTGAAACTTCGTGTTCTACGACCAGACATTTAGACAGTTAAATAAAATTAAAAATATGCGTGTTGTTTCATGAGGTAAAATTTGTTCATTCACATTACAATCATTGAGCATATATGAGAACAAAGTGATAAATCGCGAAGAAAGGCCTGACAGTGACATGAAAATACTTAATCAAATGGTGGTTGGAATAACTAAAGGTAAAGATTATTTCGGGAAACCTAAAGGTAAATGGGTGGATAATATTAAAGTGTATTTAGGAAAAATAAGTTGTGAAAATCCAACAAATAAAGTGAATTTCTTGGACAATTGTTAACTCTCTGTGTTTGAATGTAGATTGTCCAATGGATTTAGTCTTTGGTAACTTTGTTTTATAATTCCCCGGGTGAGCTACATTTAGTATCACATGAACAGTTTTGTTTGAATACACTGATAGAGTTCAGACGCTTTCATTGTATGAAAAGGTAATCAAAATAAGTATTCAAAGCACCAAAATGAACTTGTCAGGGAAGGTGAACCGTAGGACACATTTATGAAGACCCCCTGTGATACCACAAAGTGGAGAAAAGGTATAATGTTACAGCCACCTCATTTTCAGTAGCAAATGTTAGAAGCGTGTGCTATGCTTCATAGTAAACTATCACCCACTTTTTATACAAACGCCAAGCTGAAATTTATCCTTAGTTTTTGTGTTTAATGTTAGTAACAGTTCTCGCTGTGTGACAACTCTGACCTTTTCTTTACTCCTGTTAGTCTCTGTCAGTCTTCTGACTGCAGCTCGTTAAAGTTCTGTGTTACAGGTAGAGGTAGACACTCTTTGTTCAACCAGCACTGCTAATAGGCCATATAACATGATTTGTTGTTTCTTGTAACTTCTCCGCCTCCAAACGATTTCGGATTTCACAGTAGTTAAGCCCAGAAGTACGCGCCGGTTATCGTCTCTTTCTCTCTTTCTCTCTTTCTCCCTTTACCTCTTTTATTTTCTGCCTTTTTTCGTTCGATATTTTTCTCTATTACTCTCCTTTTCTCTTTATAACGTTTTGGTGCATATTTTATTCGATTAAAATTTACGGACAGAATATTTATGCATTAAGCGAAAGCTCACTTTATTTTTGTTGCAGGTACGTTCCTTCGATGCCACGTCTGTTTTGAATGGTGTGTTGTGCGACCATGAATATTATTCTCAAGGTATCTAAGTGTTCTTTTACTTACCTCTTATTTGAAACTTATCTCTCATGTTAAAACATTAATTCAGTGGTCATGTAGCCGCACCATGTGATTATTAAAATAGGCTATAAGGAATGTAATGTTCGTTTATTCGATATGGTTGTGGAACATTTTACCTTTCAGTTTTGTTCATTTTAAGGGTTTGTTTGTTTTTTGAATGTCCTAAATAAACTTATAAACACGTATGTTGGCTCCTTTTAGGCCGTGCCATAGTTCAAGCGGATACACCGTGGTTTCTTACCGCATGACATAGGCCACACACTTTAAATCCTGTATTATTGATTTGATACTTGTTCTTCTTCGGCGTGACACCAACCTTTACTCATATTTGCTGAAAATATTGTTCAGGTGCAATTCACGCACTTCAGTTATGCAATTCTGTATATTTCTACGATTTGAGACGAGTGGAGTCGGAAAACGTATTTTCCAGATAATTTGATAGGCCTATGCAGTACCAAGTTTATTTTTTGAAGTTTCAAGTATATTGTTGCTAATTGCATTACAGATCTATGATACAGAGATTTCTTCGTATTTTGTTAAATATTTGCAATACTGGAAAATATAAGTTCTAATTAAACCCCGCGTCACTAAGAAGTGAACCTGTTAAGTTATTTGAAGGCCAAGCTGCACGCATCATAAGTACGGGAACTAGGTGAAAGTGGTGCAAGTTAGTAGTCAGGCTTACTTCTGGTAAGGAGTCCCGGGAGTATACGATAAGAGCCTTAGTGCAGAAGGTACAAATTCCTATCGGGCATCGAACTCCTCTCGTCCGGTCTGTAATGAGTCACAGAAGGGACTGGAATTTTTCCTCCTCTTGAGCGCAGAAGGAAAATATGGTTTTGCGGATACTTTCCACACCCCTTTACCAATTTAATATTTTTGACGCGTGTTAGGTGTGTCATTTGGTGTCACTACACGTGGCTCACGTGTCCAGTGTCAAGTTTCCTTTTTCACTTTAATATTCGCAGGTCTCATATCACGCTCAAGATTTCATTCTTTGTCATCGTTCATCTTGGTCGACGTCGTAGTCGGTAGTAGAAACGGGTAATAAATCACGTGACCAATCTTAGGCTCGTCGCGACGCTACAGCAGGTCCATTAATATCGTCCTAATTCCATTCACATACACAAACCACATAACAGTATTAAACACGTTTTATGCTAAAAAATAATAAGCCTTATATAATGTTTCGTGTGGAGCTCTCCCACTACAGGCCATGTTGGCGCTTGGGCGAGGGGGAGATGTAGAACTCCTATTCATTGTTAACCTCGGAATTAGATGGGGGTGAGTGGCCATTATCACGCACCTGCCGCACTTTACCCCCGGGAAATGACCCCGGTACCTATTGGACAGAGGCTGGGTGGTCCCCAGAACCGATCTGGACGCACAGGCTATGGGAAAATAATGTATCGTGCAATTTGATCAAACACACCACAGAAATGTACGTGTTGTTTTATTACTGAAGACACGAAGGCGACAGAAACATTTTCTTACATTAACTGGAACACGTTCTTTATGTCGTTATAAATGTTTTCTTATAATTGTTATATTAATGTTTTGTATGTTTGCCTTCCACTTCATTTATAAATTAAACCATATGAAACGTATTTGCTTTCTGTCAGCCACGAGTGCGGAAGCTTCCCGACAGACGTTTATGTACAGTACCTATTTCAAACAGAGTTTCATTTTAGAGTATGCATATGAACAGATAAATGACGGTCGCTGTTCAACTAGTATTTGCTTTTAAACAATGAAGCCAAACCGCGAAAGCCTTCCACATACATAGGCCTATATGCATATTTCAAACAAATCAAATCGTGTTTTAAATGTGTCTATAAAACAGACAAATTACAATCACCGGTCACCTCCAAGGGTGCTGGAAAATTAGAAACGGTTTAACACACAGTAATTTCATGTACAAACTGAGAAAGTTTGTGCGTATCGGACTATGTCCCACGTTCTGTGTCTCTCTGTACTGGAAATTGTACGTGAGAATTCTTACAAGCCACCCAAAGGAAGGTATTATTGGCAATTTACATGGCCCCAGTAGGAATGTTATACGTGATTTTTCATGCTCTGTCACGGGACAGTCCCCTTATCTGACGATATTGTATATTTTACGTATTTACGTAGTAATCTCTGAAAACTTATTTATTGATACAAATGGTTGTCCATGCTGCTTAACTGACTGGTTATGCTCTGAACGACCGTGTATCGATTTCTAGCATGAATAATGATATTTCATTTCACAAGAATGTCAAGGACAGATATGGATTTTGTCTACACAATAAGCGCACAATTTGAAGCCGCTGGGGTGTACAGATTATCACACACCTGTGACTTAAGAGATGAAAGATGCGTGGAGCCATGGAACCACTCCCAAAACGTCTAAATTATTTCGTAGTTAAACACAGAGACAACTTGATTTTCACGTATGATTTAATGTTGGTTTAATATAAAAGTTAAAGTTAAAATTTACGACACTTGTTAAAACTGAGGGTTTCCAAAAACTGAGCATCTTAAAGCAGCAATTACTATTCAAATTAATTTTCTGAACACCTTGTTTCTCTTTAACCAGTATTGTTTGTTTAGTTCTTAGAGTATTTTCCAATTTTTGTAAGTTTAATCTTAACATTTTGTGTCCAGCACTTTGAAATAGGTCATGCACTCATTAATACCACCTGTCAGTGCTGGAGGTTACAGGTCAACTTCTCTGTTACTGTTTGCGGAACATAGTGTACTTCGAACCTAAACACACTAGATTCGGCTATATTTAAAGCAGTGAAGGTTTTATTTGCTGTGTCACACTCGTACATCTTATTGTTTCTTTTAAGGATTTCTGCATTAGATTATTTTTCTATCTGCTAAAATAAAATCAGTAATAGGACACACCAAATTCTCAACTGTCATACTAAATTTGACAGAGCTGCAAAATACAAGCACATAGTTATTCTTACGTATTAATACGTTCAGGGTTTATAAAGTATAGGATGTATCATTAAATGTCTTTCCTATTATTAACCACTGTGGCCTCGCCTAGTAGCAAGAATCGTGAATATTAACTAGATCAGTTTATACATTAAACTACGAGCCATACTGTTGCTCACAAACGAAGTAACAGTGAACATAAATGGTTTTATGTATTATACTTTATATGACTCTCTGGCAGCCACCGACAGACAGGTTTTTAACGAAACGGGGAAACACATTTTATGTTAAGCGTGTATGTATATGTATATATATGATGAGACCACATCTCTAATTATTGTCTTGAAATAGGTGGATGTTTATTTTTATATACAAACGTTCCGGGTTCCTCACGATGCTACGTGGTCTCTACAGTTGAAAAGGCGTTGTTAAATAAACTACGAATTAAGAATTAATTGGCGCTTAGCGAACGGGTTTCTATAAACGAAGTGGAGGTGCTTGAAGCTTGGAGTGAATGTTGTGGCAATTAATTTCGAATTTAAAATGGATTAGGTATGTAACTGTTGAAACTGTTTATAAATCTCATACACAATAATTTCTTGGCATTTTATTCCTTTCTAAAGAACCGTATTGGTTTCAGTTCCACACACATTTCTCTTAATTTATTTGGATTTACCAACTTCGTCAAAGGTAAAATGAAATGTTGGCAATTTCCTGCACCGTATTTCTGTACAATACAACATCTAGTGATGTCTACCGTGAACAAGGGATGGAATAAGAACAAGGGAGTGGAATTAGAAGCAGCGGGAGGGATTTAACTCCCCCCTGTGAAACGATCTCTCTATATGGACCGCCCGTTCCCCATCTTCACTTCACAGTCGTGCTAGGGAATATTTATTAATCCAAAGGGATGAATGTTATAATCCTACAGACGAAATTGCGTGGCCTGTTTTAGAAGGAATCTATGAAGGAAAACCACGGGCGTGGATGTGCAGGAGGAGGAGATGAAATAATGCGAACACCACAAGAGGATGAAGCAAAAGAAGGGATAAGAGATTTAAAACGAAGCTTGGAATTAGTTCGCAATGTTTGAAAGCAAGCAGGAATAAGATTTAAAAAAATATTCCACCCTTCTTCTATACCTTTATATATTATCCTTAGAAGCTCCACTCGTCTCCATCTTAAACTTATGTTTTTTTTTTTGAGGGGTGGATGCGATGAAGAGAGATAGCAAAAGACCTTAATCTATACATTAGACGGGATTTGCGAGGAACTGTGAGGAATCATTTGCATGAAGTATGGTACCATGTCTTGGAAATCTTATACAACTGTTGGTTGTTTAGGATTAAGAACATGTTGAATGAAAGAATGAGATTTTCACGTGATCGTTTCTAAGTGTAATTTTATGGCTAATTCTTACTTGGGCAGTGTCTGAACAGAGTGAATTGATATGTAAGTGGGCTGTGAAAATCTTGTTCAAAAATTTGTGCCTTATCTCCCGCAAAGCTTTCCACTTACACTAATTTCAGTTTAATCTATTATCGAATTCCGGTAGGCATTTATATGATCTACAGGTAAAGGAATGAGCCGCCGGGTAGGCTCAGTCAGAACAATTTTGTGTCTGACTACGAACTGGGCGACCGACGTTCGGTATCCTACAGAGACAAGGATTTTTAAGCCTCTGTGCCCCGACTGGTTGTGGATTTCACCTAGCCTCCTATCCATTGGGTACCGACCGGGATTTCTTTCCCCGATAGTAAAGCGTTGCTGACCGCTTACTCTCATGTAGTACCGGGGGAAAGAATTAGTAGGAGTTATACACCGCTCCCCGCTAACGCCTCCATGGCGTGTAGCAGGACAGCTTCACTTTATAATAAAAAATAGTTTAGCAGTTTATCGCACCCAAGATGAACAATTTTTCGTTTCGTACTTCATAAGCCTCATAGACCTTAGAACTGTGGAAACAAACATGCATTTTATGTAGACTTTATTTATTTATATATTCTTAACGACGCTGTCAGTAATAGCTCCGA